AAGTATGTGTTTTCCCCTTAACCTATTTTTCTATGTCTTTTTTTTTTTTTTTTATTATGAATAAAAAAATGAATTTTCCTCCCATTGGGCGCACTCCTCAAGAAAAAAGTTATATTAGAATGTTGAGAACAAAAACTTTAGTACCTAGGTGCAATGCTACCTAATTGACCTTTTTACAAATAAACGTTATTTTTATTAAGAGGCTTCAAAGATCCACAACATAGGAACAATACTGAAGAAATAGCGTGGAACAGGTTTCGGGCAGAACCTCTTCTATGTGAAGCACTTTCAAATAAGTTTGGACCATATAGGCTGGAGCAGTTTCTTATAACCAGCTACCCAGGAGGGCAGAGACTGGGAGGATAGTGGCTTGAAAGGCCAGCCCAGCAAAAAAACTAAGTGAGACTCCAGTCTCAATCAGTATGCAGGATGGTGGTGCACCCACCATTATGGCTTTCTTTGGTGGTGTTCGTAGCTGTCTTTTTTTCTATGTCTTTTTTTTTTTTTTGAATAAAAAATGAATTTCCTCCTTGGGGCATCTCAAGAAAAAAGTTAATTAGCTGTTGAAGAACAAACTTGAGTAACATGGTCAGCACTTGCCTTTTCAAAAACGTTTTAGGCTTCAAAGTCCACACAATAGGAACAATCTGAGAATCTGAAACAGTTCAGCAGAATCTTCTATGTGAAGCACTTAAATAAGTGACATATAGGCTGGGAGCAGTTTCTTATAACCAGCTACCCAGGAGGCAGAGACTGGGAGGATAGTGGCTTGAGGCCAGCCCAGGCAAAAATAAGTGAGACTCCATCTCAATCAGTATGCAGGCATGGTGGTGCACCCACCATATGTTGCTTTTTGTGGTTGTAGCTGTCTTGTCATTTAATAATCTATTCATTTAAAAATTTAATTTCAAATTTGAAATTAGCACACATACATAGAGTACATAAAACACATGCATATATTAATAGTTAAGAGTAATAATGTTACTGCTGCTTAATGGACTGAGAAATCTGAACATGACCTCGACTTCAGAGGTCACCTGGTCACTCTCCAGGTTCCAGTCTCTTCCCTCACCCACTAGACTGACTTTCTTTCTTTGACATTTTAGTTCCTGTGTATACATCCCCCCAGGTAATTGCTTAGCTCTACCTAGCGTGGGACGTGACATAAATGAAATTGTACTGTCTTTATTCTCTGTGATTTTCCTTTTGGTTTGCTTAGAATTGTGCATCTTTAGATTCATCCTTGATGATGGGCATAGCTATAATTTGCCCATTTTCCTCTGTGAGAAATATTCTACCACATAAACATGCTGTTTAGACATTTTTAGTCTTTGGTTTTTATAAACAATATTTATGCAGCGAACTTAAGCATATCTCCTGATGGACGTGGTTAGGACTTTCTGTGGGGTATGCATCTAAAAGTGGAATTGCTGGGCGCGGGGTCTGCTTGAGATGCCCCACCAGCACCGCACGGGAGCTGTTAGCTGGTCTGAGAGCTTTTAAACTTGTGTGTGATGAACATATAACGAGACCTCATTGCTTTAATTTGCATGTCTCTGTCACTAGTGAACCTGAGCATCATGGGTGTTCACTCATATTTGATTTCCTTTTTGTCACGTTCCTGATTTTCTTTTTTTGTTTTTATTTTGGTGTTAGTGGGTTTGAACTCAGGAACTTACATTCCTAGGAAGGCACTCTACCACTTCGTTAGCTCCGATTGTCTATTTGATTGTCTTTTTAGTATTCATTTATAGGAAGAGTTCATACAGATTTTAAGTAAATCCTTTATTTTATGGACTATAAATATTTTCTCTCACTTTGTGGCTTGCCTTTTCATTCTTTTATGATGTTTTGATATGAATTTTGTAATTTTAGATTTCAGATTAATTTTTCTTCTTGGAATTATAGTCCTAGTGCTCTAGTTAAGAAATTCTTCTTCCACATTGAAGTTAGAGATATTTTCTTATGTTGTCTCTTTCACATGTAATTTTTAATCACCTTGGAATTATTTTGTGTAGTATGTAGTAAGAGTTCCGTTTGATTTCCTTCTATTTAGTATTCCAAATGTTTTATCCGAAAATAATTCCAGAATTTCTTCATACCTTTTCTGGCAATGTGCTATCCAGGATTCAAGGACAGGTTTTTAACCCAAGTGAGAGGGACTGTGCTTAAATCCATCTTCCTTTGAAACCAATTTCTCCTTCTTCCCAACAAAAAGGGATGTGACTTTTTATCTTGGGATTTTAAAGATAGTTTCTCAGCCACAGGTTGTTTTTGCACCAAGGGGATATTTGGCAATGTCTATAATTTGATTGCTGTGATTGGCAGGTGCTATGGATCGAGTGGGGAGAGGCCATATATGCTGCTAAACAACTTAACAGTACAAGAGACAGCCCCACAATGGACAATTCTTCAATCTGTGTCTGAGTAGGCAGCCCAGTGGTAGAGTGCTTTGCCTAACATGTGCAAAGTCCTTGTTTTTATCCCTGGTATCATGGGGAAAATCCTAAAAAACCAAGGATTATACAATCCAAAAAGTCAATAGTGCTTAGGAAAGTAAAACCTGATAAGTACATATACACATAAAATATTTTTATTATTGCTCATCTCTAAATATTTTGTAATTTCCATTATGGTTTTTTTTTCAGAATCATGGTTGATTTAGAAGTGTGTTTCTTAATGGTTAACTTTTTGTTATAAGTTTTTAGCTAAATTGAGTTGTGATCAGAGGGTGTGGCATGCATGACTCCAATTCTTTGGAAGTTGGTGAGGCTTATTTTATGATATGTTCTATACCTGCTTCAACAACTTTGTTAATCATATCCATTCTTCTACATCTGTTGGATTTTTTTTGTTACTTGTTCTACCAATTACAGTAAGCCTGCTTTTTTGTAGACTTGTTACATATGGTTTTGATCAAGCATGGTCATGAAAGAATTCCCACTTATATATCACGCATCTTAGTGGGTGTGGAGAGATGCTCTCAGTCAGTCTCGTATGCCATCAGTTTGTGTTTAACTCAGTTTTTCCTCAGTGGTGGTCTCTTTGAAACCAAATCCCACTGGACACCCAAGAGTTTACTGTATCAACAGTAGTATGTTAAAGTCTTATACACAAATTAAAAGTATTTTATTTTTGGTGCTAGGGATTGAACCTAGGCTTCACACATTCTACCACCAAGCTAATAGCCCAAACCCTAAAACATACATTTTATGTACTTCTCCTGAGTTAAAACTTTGATTACATGAAGTAATCTTTATGTCCATTCTGCTTCTCCTGTATAGTCAATTTTATCTGAGAATGTTACATCAAAACTAGATTTCCCTTGGTTTCAATTTGCTTTCTATATATTTCCCATTGTTTTTGTTTCCGGCTCATCTGTTTTCTTTATGTTTTAAAATATGTGGTTTGTAAACAGAATATGGTTGTAATTTAAAGTTCCATTTGACAGCATTTATCTTTTAACTGAGTCCATTTATATTTATTGTAAATATATCATCTGTAGAATAGTAAATTTTTGTGGTGCTGCATATTGAACTCAGGCCTCATACCTACCAGGTGGCTGTGCTACCACTGAGTCCTAGCCCTAGGACAGTATTTCTATTTGTTTTCACATCTTATGTTTATTTTTGTCTTCTTTTGTGTCTTATCCTGGACTGACAAGGTATTTTTTTGCATGTCACTTTCCTTCTCTATCAGTTTGGAAGTTGTATATTTCTAGTTCTTTAGATGTGACTCTAGCAATTATCAGTGCCATACTCCAATCATCATCACTCTAAATTTAATGTATACCTTTACCCGATTCCCCACAAGAGTCCTAGTGTACTTCAGCTCTATTTCCTTCCTTCCAATTTATGCATGTTGGTAGCACTTTAGTTGTAGTGTTTTCCTTTCAAAACACATATTACTTTATTATATTTACTGTTTTATACAGTCTGCTAAAATCAACTCTCCCAGACTATCCATTTGAGGTTTCTTTTTCTCTGCTGAAGTGCATTTGTTAGAATATCTTTTTAGTGAGAATCTGTTAACCAAGTCTCAGTTTTGTCTCAAATAATTTTAATTTGCCCTCATTCTTGAAAGACATTTTCACTTTGAAAGATTTTAAATTGTGTTTCAACATCTTCTGACAGTTTCAATGCTTTCTGCCTTTTTTGTTGCAGATTAAAATTCACACTGGTGTGACTTGAGACTTTCTTTCTTCTTTCCTCTCCTCCTTTCTTCTCCTCTCTCCTCCTCTTTTTTTTTTTCTCCCTTCTCCTTCCCCCTTCTTTTCCTGAATATAGGTAGGACTGGAATATAGGCAGTATATTCCTATAATATATAGGACTGGAATTTAATAGGTTTCTCTAGAAGGATGTAAGCATAATTACTTTTTTCAGGTATCTTAGGTATTACCAATCTAGGATCATTCTAAACTAAATTATTTGCATAAGGATTAAGATCATCTGGAAGCATGCATGTGGGTATTTATAATAGACTGTGTATAAATTCATGTGGCATTTATATAGACTGTGTTTACAAATTCCCTGCATTATTTTTTTAACATTTGTCTTTCTGTGCATGTGTGTGTAGCGCTTTGTGTGGCAGGATCTTTTATGAGACAACTTCCTAAACCTCGGGAAGGCCCAAGTTTTGTCTCCTGTTCCCCTTTTCTTTCACTTTAGGAGTTAAGTATCCTTGGGATAAGAGCTAGTTGCAGCGCTTTTTCTCATGTTTTTGAGTTTTTATTTATCTTTACATCCTAGTCCTTAGAAATTCTTGAATTTACCAGTTCATTCATTTTATTTTAGGTTTTTAAAATGCTTAGTCAAGAGTTTATAGTTGTTTTCATTGATTATCAGTATAAATACCTAGCCTTTCCATTGTTGAAATACTAGTAATATACTCATATGTTCCTAAAAGACAGTGAGACATGGAAATTGGTATCCATCATAAATGGCTTCATAAATGATATGGTATATTTTGAAACAGCATGAAATATGCAAATATATTCTCAGTTGTTATGTGTTCCATTAAGTAGGGATAATGTGGGCATATCTTTTATTTCCAATTTTTAAACTATTAAAAGGCTTATGTACAAAATACCGTATTTCCTACAAAGCCATCCTTCCACTTACAGTGTAGCCTTTCGTTGAGGTGATTAAGGGACTGCAGGATCTTCTGTTCTTCAGTGGACAGTGCACAGATGTTGAGTTGCTGGGTTTTATTTAAAGCCAGGCTTGGTTTCTGTAGCTGCTTGCTGTTCAAGACAGTCAGAATTTCATCCTCAGGAACTGAAGCTTTCAATAGGTTTTCTGCCATCAGAAACTCGGAAATACTATCTGAAACTACCAGAAACTTTACATTAATTATTCTTTGATCCTTGTGGTCTTTGAGATCAGCCATTATACACAGTTACCTATGAATTATGACACTGAATTATGTCTGTATGTATTGATGTCACAAACAGAATCCAGTAAACACTCTGTTACTTTGCATTTTATTTATCAGGATTCTCTATATCAAGTATTTTCCCAGCCCCAGTTAAAAAAAAATCCAAAATGATGGCAGTGAGGAAATAAAAACTTCCTAGAGTGCTACCTGAATTAATGAAAAATGCATTATGTGCGGATGATTTTTGTGTTGGGTTGTTAGTCATTGGTGGTATGATGATAGTATTAAGTGGGCTGGTGGTGTGGCTCAAACAGTAGAGCGCCTCCCTAGCAAGCATGAAGCCCTGAGTTCAAGCCCAATATTGCCATAAGAGAAAAAAGATAAAGTGAAGGGTCTTTATAATAGCAGTTAAAATGAACTATAAATAAAAAAGAGAAAAGAGACTTAAGGTTAGAAAATTGGATAATCAGCTAATCAGAACTGACACTGTAGAAAAAGAACCAATTACATTAAGAAGATATGATCAAGCTAGCAGGCTTGAGGCCTTAAGTTCAAGTCCAATACTGCAAAAAAAAGAGATGACCAAAGACGCATTAAAGATTTGAGAGGAGAGAAAGGTGAATTGATAAATTAGTTTATTGCTTATAAAGGAATTAACTTGGAGCTCCATTTCTCACCATTCATTTAAACAAATTATGGAGAAATTAGAGTCGAATATAAAGAATCAAGTTAGTAAGACAGTGTAAATGGTAAAGAGACAATGGCCTTAAGTGTGTGCCTTGGGTTGAAAGGTAATGGAGAGGTCACTAAGAGAAGGTTACTACATGTTCATGGGATCAGAGCACTCTCCTGCACAGACCTCACATTTCTTTTATGTTTTTTCCATGACTGTGTATATCTAATATCTACTTATCGGCAGAAAATTAGCTCTCAATAATTATTTATTAAATGGACAAATAAAAATTAAAACTTATACATGTAAAATACAACAGAAGTGGAAGAAAATGAAAATAATGTAGCAAAATATTTACAATGAATGTAGGGATTAGAATCCTTGATATTTCAGTAATTTGCAGAAACCAGTAAGAAAATATCAAAACTGCACTATCTAGGGAAAAAGAATATGAAGAGACAATTCACCAAAATACAAAAACAATTAAGCATATTATTAATAAAAATATAAACACCAAAATGAATACAACATTATTTTTTTGCCCGTCATACAAGCCAATTTAAGAAGTGATTGTACTCAAGTTAACATATACACTGGAAGAATTTATTATTATTATTATTTTATTATTTTTGTGGTTCTGGGATAGAAGTCAGGGCCTCGTGCACTCAAGGCAAACACTCTATCACTGAGCCACATTGCCAGCCAACCCTGGAAGAATTTTGAATGGTAATCCCTTCAGGAGAACACTTCAGCAGTGTGTATGAAACACTGTACCAATGCTTATTTCCTTTGATGCAGTATCCATTTAAGATGCAAAGCTTCAGTCAATAAATACTTATTGGGTGGCAATTACATGCCACGTATTGTAATGTTAACTCTGGGAATCTATCCTACAGAACTAATGGACAAGTTAGTCAGGAAATCACTTGATAATGCATGCATTATTATTTAGAATAAAGAAAAATTGGCAATGAATTCAGCGTGCAGGAGTGAGGAGCCTTCAGGTCCTAGGTGGTGGCTTCACAGTCACATAACATGTAAGAACCTGAGAAATATATTTTCAAAGTAAGAAAATCCCTGGGGACCTTTGTGAGGAAAGCATTCAAATAAGAACGTACCTTCTTCCATGTTATAAGTACTTCCTGTAGTTTGTTTTGGCTCAGTTGAACTTAGCTGTACATTTTGTCCAAAATTCTGTAAAAATAGAATATTAAATCAGAATAAAATTCTGCATTTGAAATTCATGAAATACACATGGGCTTTAAAAATGTTTAATTGCTATATATATTTCTAGCTGTCATTATTTATGTAACTTGTTTCTTTTTCCTCCTCTTTTTGAGGAGAAGTCAAGAATTACTGGATTAAGGCCTTTCTATAGTACCTGAATATTTAAAAATGTTTTAGGGCCAATGAAGAATTTCAGGCAGCAGTGTTTTGGATATTTGGAAACGCATAAGCAAGTTGGGTGGTAACCAAAGTGCTGATTAAAGCTAATTAAAGGACAGGTAAAAAGTTACTTTGAGGTTTCTAACTTGGTTTATCATCATAAGGGTGAGTTACTACTAACCAAAGGCTTCTGACTATGGCTAACACCAAAGCTAGTTAAGTGTCTTGGATGACAAAACCTGAAACAGAAACAGTTGCCCCAATGCCGCACAGAATCAGAAGAGGAAATCTGAGCAGGGCAGTAAGTGTGTCCATTCAACACTCACTGAAAGACGTCAGCTCTGCTTCCTGAAAACAGTCTTCTTTTGTTCTTCAGTCCCATTGGATTTCACCTGTAGAAATGATTGCTTTCTCCCAGATAAAACTGCCCTGGCTATGACTATAGACAGCCTTGTTCAGTCTGATCTATCTGAAGAATAATGGATACAGACTTGCAACAGCTCTCCTATAGTTCTCATTGTCTTGTTTTCCATTATAGACTGGAGGAATGTTGGACCAAAACCCCTGTGCAAAGTGGCAACTGTGCATTTTCTGTTTCCTTTATCCTTTGAGATTCTCTCTACGTAGAAGTGGTGGACTGGGTGAAATACAGTATGATGAATGCATTTCCTAATACAAGGTGACAAGAGTCACTGCCATCATAACTGAACCTATGATTAAGCTCTAGAATAAAAAACAAAACCAAAATGAAATAATAAGGATGAAAACTTTAAACTTCAAAACTTGTTTTGATTCAGAACACTGACCTAAGACTATGGAGCATGACTATGGAGATATGAAGGTGGGTGTGTAAGTGAAGCATATGTATCAAAGGTGAAGTGAGGCTCCCTGGAAAGGACAGAATCAGACTTGACGGGCAGTGAGAGAGAATGCAAAGGAGCATGAGATGGAAGAATCAGTGAAATGAGAAGAAAAAAAAAAAAGAAAATTTAGAGGGGTACCAATAACAGGCATTTATATTTTATTGTTTTTTTTTGTGGTTATACAACTATACATTATTTTTAAACTAAAAAAATCCCTCTCCAACTGCATGCCTGGAGAGACCTTGACAGCTCAGGTCAGCACAATCCCTCCAGCTGCCACTCGCCTTTCCCATGCTGTATTAGATATCAGATTTAAAAAATCTTAAGAAAAATAAAGGTAAAAATGTGTTCACTTACAGATTTTGAGATGTTTGATGGAAACAATATGGATGTTTATAAAGGACTCATGAGGCATTGCATTTATAATGAGTAAACTATATTTACAATTAAGTACAGACGTTATGGAGCAGTAAGAATAGGTTGAGATGACTATAACTTACTACGTAAATATAACTACACAGCTTATCTTCCTGGTAGATTAGATCATGGTTGGTTGTTATCTATAGTAACAATCTTATCTATATAAAAACGAATACTTCTTGGGCTGTGGATGTGACTCAGTGGTACAGTGCTTGGCTAGCACGTGTGAGGCTCTGGATTTGAGACTCAGCAATGAGGAAAAAAGTGTGCAAAAATTAATTCAATGGGAGACCATCATGTCGCGTGAGCTAAGCCAAGCCCAAAAGGCCAAATGTCGCAGGCTTTCACTCATATGTAGAATCTAGACCTAAGATGAGAATAATGGGGCACAACTTAAAGGGAGGACTATGTGTGTTTGGGGAATCTGTGGAGTGGGAGGGAAAGGGGAGGGGGAAAGAGAGGGGACTGGACAGTGAGCAGGATTTAAGTATGTATATATATGTATATATACATATATATGAAAATAGCATCATAAAGTCCACTTAAATACTGTTGGAAAAAGGTAAGGAAGAAGAAAGGGGGGTTAAGGGAGTATAGTAAAGGGGGTGAACTTGTTCAAAGTCTTGGGTACACATCTGTGGTACACAAAATGAAGCCCCCTTGTACAATTAATATATGCTAATAAAAATCAATACTTCCACCAGCATGGTGGTGCATCCCTGTAATCCTACAGTAGAGAGGCTGAGGCAGGAGGATCATAAGTTTGAGGTCACCCTGGGTTACACAGTGAGACAGGTCTCCCTCCCTCCCCCCCATTAACACTTCCTGTAATATACCCTTGATAGAAGCCTCAATCTATAACTCAAATAGTAAATTCTTCATCAGGCACTCTGTTCCAGTTCTATTAAAAATTAGAAAAAGTGATATTTAAGGTAGAAATTCCAAGTAAATTCTACTTACTTACACAGTTTGTATTTTTAACATTCTAAAGTCAGTCCTCAGATCAAGTTGGACCACTAGTGTTGTATTTAGACCATATCTCCTCAGCCTTCACAGAATTTCCTATATCACTTAAAAACTGTCATTATGCTTTTGACTTTTCTCAAGATCTCTATCAAACAACTGTATTCATCTGCTATTGAATTGTTACTAGAGACGGATCCATTGTATGTTTCAAGGTCCCTGTGAAGGCCCTCAAAGGAAAATATCTTTTAAAATATTGTACTACAAACAATCCCTGAAAATTACAGTTGTCCTTCCTCTCACCCACTCTCCCACTCTCCTTTTTAGTGTATATTTAATAAATAACTATTGAATTTTGTTCTGAATGCCCTATTTTTACTCATTACGAGCAATAACAAAGTAACAATTGTGATCTTTTCTTCTTCCTGAGACAGGGTCTTGCTATGTAGTCCAGGTGGGCTTTAAACTGACAATCCTCTTGCTTAGTTTGGGATTACAGCTGTGTGCCACCATGCGTAGCGATAATGGTTATTTCTTAAAGTTGGTTTTAAACCTTCACTGGTTACTGATCACAGAGGCTAATCGGAACACAGCAAGTGAGCACAAAGGGTTCCAGGCATGAGGTTCAGAGTGCATGGCAAGTGGCTTGGCTACTTTCAGATTTATGTTTACAGTTCACAGCAAGAGCACAGTCCTTTAAGAACATTCTGTTTTCCAAGCAATTTTCACCACTGATACAGATGCTGCTAATGCTGTACTTACAATCGTTTGCTCATTGTACTTCTGTCCTACAGATCCAGGGTTTTTTCTTTTCTGCTCCAAAAGATTTCTCCGCTTATTTTCGACAATTCGCTTTCTTCTTGTGACAGTAGAATCTTAAGTAAATGCCAGCACAACGTCAGAATTATGCAAGTTGAGAAGATAATATTTACCCACTACCAACCTTCAAATTGCCTTCAAGCATCACAAAAAACTGAGTTCTTCCTACATGCTCTAGACACGGCTTAGTTACAGGGATGAATTAAAGGAAAAGCAGGAGCTTCAGACGGGTTTATGGCTTACAGCACTGACCCCACAGGTCCTGGACACCAGGAAGGTGTGTAGGCTAAGCCACCGGTATGCAGGAGAGCATGTTAGAATTCCAGTTCATACTTATTACTGAAAGTTAGAAATTAAACACCTCATGCAATACGTGCTTGACAGACACCCTAGTTAGCACATGGCTAGACTGTCGTACTGACACAGAAAACTCGGCCATCTGGAGGTACGTGCTCCCCAGCTTCCTGCTGTACTGCGTGTGTAACGTGTATTGTTCGAGGAGAATGGCGGCTACCTGGACGTCACCGTGTTACTTCTTTAACTTTTTTCCACGACCCTTGTGCTTTATTACTCTTTGTGTGGGTGGTAAGGTGGGTGAGTTGATATTGAATCCAGGAACAGACACAGCACATGCTCACAGTTGTTTATGTATTGTTCCATTCACAAACATGCACTTAAATAAAAATTACCCAATAATTGTTACAATAGCTAAGAACCTTGGCTTTTTTTTTTTAACTTGCATTGGTATCTCTGCAAATTTCTAGTTTAATATGAAAATTCTAGGTATGATGGTTACACTACCCAAACTCAAAATGAGGCTACTAATCTTCCATAAAGTATTACATATATTTAAATCTGTAGTATTCTTGCATGAGGAAAAATACTGGAGGCATTCACAGAATTCTAGTTTTAGAAAAGATATTAGAAGTTAACAACAACAACAAAAAAGAAGTTAACTAGTTCAGCCTCTAACCCACATATCTAATTTCTTACAGTGGACACTCCACCTCTGCTCCAATGGTACAGCGATGGGTGCCACAGCCCATGGGGCCTCATTTTCCATTGTTGGTTAGCTTAAATCCTGCTTTAAATTTTTACCCTTTCATCTTAGCTCTGTTTACTTCTTATAATAAGCCTGCAAACATTTGCATATTACATACTGCTATCATCTCTCAGGCTGTATCCCTTTAATCGATCTTCAGACCTCCTTTCAGTCTTGGGTTGCCCTAGTTTTCATGTAGCCCTTAAAATACACACCCTAGAATAACAGAATACAGCAGCATTTCTAAAGGCCTGGTTATTATTGCTTTAAATTATACAGACTTTGTAACAACCATTGTAAACTTTTATTTATTTTGCTTCATTTAGTTGTATGTGTTTTTTCAATGAATAGTTGTCAAGACAGATACCTTTTATTTTTGGAACTGATTTAAAAAAGACTAGATATACACAAGCAAACTGTCAAGGAACAGAAATGAACTGCTATTTATCAAAAAGAGTGAAAATGCCAATCACAAACTGGCAGAAAATAATTGCAATCTTAACCCACGCAGGATCTGTATCTAGAATATATAAAGAATTCCAATCCATGAAAAAAAAAACAGAAAAAATGGGTGAAAGATAAGAACAGACATTTCACAGAAGAAACACAAGTGATACCTTAACATGAAGATGCTCAATTCATTAGTAATGGGGTCATGCAAGTTACCATAATTAGAACTCATTTTTTATCCACAGGATTAAATAAACATTTGAGAGATTGCATGAGCTTTGGTGAAGATGTCATAAGGAAACATTGGATTATCTAACGGAGTTGAAGATGCAGCAGCCCATGACCCAGCGACATGAACATCAGCAGAGGCACAAAACCATTCCTGGTGGAACTGTTCCTATTCATGAAGCAAGAAAGTAAAAGCAACCCAAGTGCTCAAGGACAGGAGAATGAAACGTTTTGTACATTCACATAACAGAATGTGACACAGCGATCGGGACAAATGAAGTGCAGCCAGCTTAATTGTGAATCTAAAAAACAAAGCTGATTGAAAAAGCAATCCTAGAAAGATACTGATGGTTTCATTTCATTTAAGTAAGTTTCCAAAGTAGGAAAAACTAAACAATCTATTGTTTGGGATACATTCATATGGAGATAAAATTAAAAGGAAAAGCACGGAATAACAAACATGAAATTCTACAGTGCTCACTTCTGTAGGGGATAGATGGATGCAACTGGAAGGAGCATATGCGGTGACTATTTCTAAAATGGGGTGTGGATAGAGGATTCTCTTGTCTTTAACTGTTCTTATATATCAGACACATTCTTTTTTTAAAAATTTTTATTGTTTTATTATTCATATGTGCATACAATGCTTGGGTCATTTCTCCCCCCTGCCCCGACCCCCTCCCTTACCACCCACTCCACCCCCTTCCTGTCCCTCCTACCCTCTCCATAACCGGCAGAAACTATTTTGCCCTTATTTCTAATTTTGTTGTAGAGAGAGTATAAGCAGTAATAGGAAGGAACAAGGGTTTTTGCTAGTTGAGATAAGGATAGCCATACAGGGAGTTCACTCACATTAATTTCCTGTGCGTGTGTGTTACCTTCTAGGTTAATTCTTTTTGATCTAACCTTTCTCTAGTTCCTGGTCTCCTTCTCCTATTGGTGTCAGTTACTTTTAAGGTATTTGCTTTAGTTTCTCCGCATTGAGGGCAACAAATGCTAGCTAGTTTTTTAGGTGTCTTACCTATCCTCACCCCTTCCTTGTGTGCTCTCGCTTTTAACATGTACTCAAAGTCCAATCCCCTTGTTGTGTTTGCCCTTGATCTAATGTCCACATATGAAAGAGAACATATGATTTTTGGTCTTTTGGGCCAGGCTAACCTCACTCAGAATGATGTTCTCCAATTCCATCCATTTACCAGCAAATGATAACATTTCATTCTTCTTCATGGCTGCATAAAATTCCATTGTGTATAGATACCACATTTTCTTAATCCACTCGTCAGTGGTGGGGCATCTTGGCTGTTTCCATAACTTGGCTATTGTGAATAGTTCTGCAATAAACATGGGTGTGCAGGTGCCTCTGGAGTAACCTGTGTCACAGTCTTTTGGGTATATCCCCAAGAGTGGTATTGCTGGATCAAATGGTAGATCAATGTCTAGCTTTTTAAGTAGCCTCCAAATTTTTTTCCAGAGTGGTTGTACTAGTTTACATTCCCACCAGCAGTGTAAGAGGGTTTCTTTTTCCCCGCATCCTCGCCAATACCTGTTGTTGGTGGTGTTGCTGATGATGGCTATTCTAACAGGGGTGAGGTGGAATCTTAGTGTGGTTTTAATTTGCATTTCCTTTATTGCTAGAGATGGTGAGCATTTTTTCATGTGTTTTTGGCCATTTGAATTTCTTCTTTTGAGAAAGTTCTGTTTAGTTCACTTGCCCATTTCTTTATTAGTTCATTAGTTTTGGGAGAATTTAGTTTTTTAAGTTCCCTATATATTCTGGTTATCAGTCCTTTGTCTGATGTGTAGCTGGCAAATATTTTCTCCCACTCTGTGGGTGTTCTCTTCAGTTTAGAGACCATTTCTTTTGTTGAGCAGAAGCTTTTTAGCTTTATGAGGTCCCATTTATCTATGCTATCTCTTAGTTGCTGTGCTGCTGGGGTTCCATTGAGAAAGTTCTAACCTATACCTACTAACTCCAGAGTATTTCCTACTCTTTCCTGTATCAACTTTAGAGTTTGTGGTCTGATATTAAGATCCTTGATCCATTTTGAGTTAATATTGGTATAGGGTATATACATGGATCTGGTTTCAGTTTTTTGCAGACTGCTAACCAGTTTTCCCAGCAGTTTTTGTTGAAGAGGCTATTTCTCCATCATATATTTTTAGTGCCTTTGTCAAAGACAAGTTGGTTATAGTTGCACACACATTCTTTTGTATGTAAAATATGTTCCACAATTTAAAACACAAACGCTCTGCTAAACTGAACTTCATTGGTGTTGGTTTGTCAGTTTAATCAGTCAGGATGATTTTAAATCCTGTTTCTACCCTCTATTTTATTATTAATGACTTCCTTTGTTACTTCATGCCACTTATAGACCAATAAACTATTTTTTTCTTCTATGTTACTGAAAAATCGCTTTAAAACAAACATATAGTGGGTAAGTGGGTAAGAATACTTGTGCCTCAAAGCAGCTCTGAGCCTGCCAAGTAAACATGATGGGCAAAGTTCACGTTCTTGAGTAAAAAAATTTATGGACAAGATGTTATTTGTTCAAAGTATACTGTGGGATTTGATCCTTTATGAATCTTGTGATGGATGAATGTGTGGAGACAGATGGTGACCAGCAGGCAACAGAGCAACACTGGAACGGGTAAACTGAGGGATGTACCATTTCAGAAGCCTTGAAAGAGCACACACAGTGGCTGTCCAGTGCACAATCTGTGTCCCTTCTACAACGGGTCTATTTAATATGGTGTACAATTGGTCATTTTTGTATTAATTTTTTTGTTAAATAAATTTTGTAATATTTAAAAAAACCCCAAACAAAACAAAACACAGACTCCAGAGACAGAATGATGTAATGCTTCATTTATCACTAGACTACCTATGCAAATTATACCAGTTATATATATATGTATATGTATACATATATACATACATATACATATATAATATATAATTATATATTATATAACAATATAATTATAATTATAATATAATAATTATAATTAATTATAATAATAATTATATAATATAATTATAATATATTATATAATTATATATTATTATATAATTATATATAATTATAATTATAATATTATATTATATAATTATATATTATTATATAAATATATAATTATAAATATAATATTATATTATATAATTATATATTATATAATTATATTATATTATAATATAATGTATAAACATTATAATATAATATTATAATTATATTATATTATTTATTATATATAATTATATATATATAATATAATTATATATATTATATAATATATTATATTTATATATTTATTATTATATAATATATATATTATATA